AATATCAAGGAAGAGGCTACTGACATACATCCCATGTAATAACAAGGAACAGGCTACTGACATACATCCCATGTAATAACAAGGAACAGGCTACTGACATGCATCCCAACTAATATCAAGGAACAGGCTACTGACATACATCCCATGTAATAACAAGGAACAGGCTACTGACATACATCCCATGTAATAACAAGGAACAGGTGACTGACATACATCACATCTAAGTCTAACAAGGAACATGCTACTGACATACATCACATCTAAGTCTAACAAGGAACAGGCTACTGACATACATCACATCTAAGTCTAACAAGGAACAGGCTACTGACTTACATCCCATGTAATAACAAGGAACAGGCTACTGACATACATCACATCTAAGTCTAACAAGGAACAGGCTCCTGACCTACATCCCAACTAAATCTGAAAACACCACATTATACATGCTTTATATATGCAGGCTCTATAAGACCTTAATACACTGGCCTTAAAAGACTTCAATACACAAGCAGTATGACACCTCAACAGACATGCCTTATAAGAGTTCAATACAACCTATTAAGGAATCGAACCCAACTAATCGTTACAAACTCATCAAGTGGGTGAAACCCGTATAGTTATTTTATGCTAAACGATACTTGCCTTACAAGAGTTCAATACAACCTATTAAGGAATCGAACCCAACTAATCGTTACAAACTCATCAAGTGGGTGAAACCCGTATAGTTATTTTATGCTAAACGATACTTGCCTTATAAGAGTTCAATACAACCTATTAAGGAATCGAACCCAACTAATCGTTACAAACTCATCAAGTGGGTGAAACCCGTATAGTTATTTTATGCTAAACGATACTTGCCTTATAAGAGTTCAATACAACCTATTAAGGAATCGAACCCAACTAATCGTTACAAACTCATCAAGTGGGTGAAACCCGTATAGTTATTTTATGCTAAACGATACATGCCTTATAATAGTTCAATACAACCTATAAAGGAATCGAACCCAACTAATCGTTAAAAGCTTATCAAGTGGGTGAAACCCGTATAGTTATTTTATGCTAAACGATACATGCCTTATAAGAGTTCAATACAACCTATTAAGGAATCGAACCCAACTAATCGTTACAAACTCATCAAGTGGGTGAAACCCGTATAGTTCTTTTATTCTAAACGATACTTTCAATGAAACTTAACGCAATCTGCAAAACAGGGGCCAAAAAATCTTCAATTGTTCCAAGAGAATTGATCTGTCGTTTCCCTGCTTCATCACTGAATAACCCTGATACACCCTGAAATTGCGCTGTTACAACCGTCCACACAAAAAAAAAGATCGAATCAAAACCAACAGTGATGTCTATCCTATAAATATTTACAGCTGGATTAAAAAAAAACAACTTTAGATCTATTGTTCATAACTCTGTCATAAGCTCATAATGCAACAACAAAAAAATGATTAAATTCCCCTTTTAGTGACTTAAACAAAGTAAGTTTATAAAAATGATTTTTTTTAACACTATATTTTTTATTTGTACTGCCAAGAAAAAAAAAAAAAAAACAATCTACAATTTCCATTCCAGGCAGCTAATAGCACGTGANGGGGGGGGGGGGGGAGGGGGGTGGGGGGGGGTGGGGGGGGGAGAGAGACTATAACATCATGCAAAAACTGATTCTTCTGTTCCCACGAAATCCACGTCCTTCCGTTTTACTTCCGCCAGTTTACACAACGTTAGGGAAATACATTCTTTTTTTTTTCTTTCTTTCCTTCTTTATTTATCTAAAAAACAGGGGTTCTCAACCTTTCTGATGCAGCGACCCTTTAATACAGTTCCTCGTGTTGTGGCGACCCCCAACCACAAAATTATTTTCGTTGATACTTTATAACTGTGGAGTACATGTGTTTTCAGATGGTCTTTTAGGCGACCTCTGTGAGAACCGCTGATCTAAAACATGGGTATACATCGGATGGCTGGCCCGCAAGCCAAGCCAACCGCCAGCACTTGAACTACCACGGTGGGGTCCTTCACACACAACACCACGTTGGATAACTCCAGCGGCGCGTGCAAAGATCGATTGTTCAACCCCCCCCCCCCACCTTCCCCTCCCACTCGTGGTGTAACGTTGTATTCCGTCCTGCGCTTGTGAGATTAATCTCACTTGAGCAAACATGTTGTTGCAATGGTAGCCATTGTCATTCGCGAATGAAAAGAAGACGAAAAAAAAATCACACGACATGTAACATAGTGTACTCTGCCCGAATGATTATTATTTAGATATATATTTTTTTTTTACCATGTATTGATTTCTTATCATTCTTTATTAAATCAATTATATAGTGTTGCTTTTTTTTTTTTTTTTTCATTGCCACATGTGGTGAAAATAAAAATGAAAAAAAGAAAAAAAAAAATTTTTTTTTTTTTTTTTTTTATCACTGCCACATGTGGTGACAATAAAAATGAAGACAAGAAAAAAAAAAGTGTTTTGAACATGAAATTGATAAGTATTAATTAGATTTTTAATTAATAATTTTTTTTTTTTTCAGCTTTAGGAGCCGTTCCTCCATTCAAGCAAGTCTACAATAAATTGTTAAATGAGTTTAAAATATTAGACTAAGTTTGTTTAACGCACAGAGAAACCTCAACAGTCTTTACTCGATTATATATTAAATATATAAAATTATAAACATTGACATTAGTTTATTATATGCGTGAATATTCTAAAACAAACGTGTAAAGGGAACCTATTTTAAAACTGCATTTTTGGTTGGTCGTGCAGTAAAAGTATAAGATTTATGTGATGGTGACACTATCAGATGTCGTCATAGTGTAAAAAAAAAAAAAAAAAATGTAGAAGTAGGTTAGGTTGTTTTCCAATTAAAATTTTAGCCGGGAATTTCCATATCTATAATTAGATCAATGCATGGGCGCCCGCAGGTAGGGGCAAGGTGGGGCACTTGCTCCCCCCCCCCCTGGATTTTATATGAAAGAGAAAATAAAGAGAATGTAACTAAGCTGATGTCCTATCCGTTCTCGTTCACCATACAAATACGCTACAGTAAATTAAAACTATATTAAAACATTACTACAAATTTTTGCCCCCTTCCCGGAAAGTTAATCAATCTTCCCCCCCCCCCTAGAGAGTTTTCTGCGGGCGCCCATGGATCAATCCCATCTTTTTTTTTAAAAAGGGAATTTCCATATGCGTAATTATATTTTTAATAAAGTATATATTAATGATGAAAAAAAAAGAAGATTATAACGTTATTGTGTTCATTAAATTGGTGAACCCGTATTATTCATAGTAAATATTCTCTCTTTTTTAAATGCGGAGTCACCAATTATATACATTGGGGGGGGGGGTTGTTTGTTTATTATATATATATAAATAAATTGCTTTGTTTTGATAAACCACAACCTTTAAAATGAGACAAATTTGTTAACTTTGTATCTGTCACTTGTAAAGTGTATTTCCATTATATATATATATATTATATAAATATACATATATATATATGTAAATCAACAACACCAAAGACTCTTTTCATTACCCTTAGCTACTATTGGACGGGCTTGACACACAGTTAGGTATGAAAATTTACCACGAATGCTCTTTGTGAATGTAGTCAACTACTTGTCCCCCATTTCATCGGTATTCTCCGATGACTCACGGGTCCTCAAAAATTGAAAAAAAGGGACAAATTTACTGGCAAAAAAAAAAAAAAAAAAAAAAAAGAATTTTTGTTCTAGCATAAAGTAATTTAAAAGCAAGTTTCGAATTTATAATTTTTAGTATGAAAAATTTAGTAATTTTTTTAAAACAACTCACTGATGAGCAGTTCACTAAGGCGGGCCAACTCGTCTTCACAACAAAAAAACAAAAAAATAATAATTAAATAACAAATCTGGTGTCACCCATCCCAGTTCCCCATCTAAACAAACAAACAAAAACAAACAAACCAAAAGACGACTCAGGTCAGAGCAGGTTTTAACCCTCACAAAACTAACAACATTTCGATTTATAAACCAATAAATTATAGATCAACCTTTCCAATTATCCTGGAATTCGTATATCACTGTAACGTAAAATATTGCAGGATAATTGGCTTTACGGGGAAATCATCCAAAATAAATAACAAGTAAACATAAAACTCACAACTGCATTAAAAAATGTGTTGTTTTTTTTAAATTTTTTAAATTAAAATACATTATAGAACACTTACATCACTATTCAATCAGAAAACATAACATCTATTTTGTTTTTAAAAAAACACTGATGAAAAACGGATTTAGTTATGAATTGATTTTTGTGTTAAATTTGTTTTTTTGACATGACACAACATTATACACTGTCGTGTGTTAAATAAGAATCAATTTCAAAATAATATAACACTTGTAATAATTAAAGATTTTACTCATACTTTTAAAAAAAAGGTTTTGTCGAATGAATGCAGACGTTCTCAGAGGCGACTAATTGCTCATCATCCCTGGATTTGTTTAAGTAGCGAATAGAAGAGCAAGGTATGTGGAAGCTTCACACAAAAGACCCCAAGTGATCGCCGTTGTTACTTCCGGAAATAACAATGGCGATCACTTGACTTTGTGCCTAATTCCTATATCTCGTCGTATTTGCATTTATCCTGTTCGCCGCAGAAGGCTCTCAGCGGAAACATTCTTATCTTATTGTTATGTCTTTTGATTCAAAGTTCCAAAATAAAGGTTTTATACTATTTTTTTTAAACAGCTTGAACTGCAGTCCTTCATCTGTTATTCTCTAAAGACACGAAGAGGTGTGCATGAATTAAAACACCAACATAAAGATGGACGTTGAAATAATGAACTTGGGGGCTTTTAAGGGTCGTCAGAACATAAATACCTCATTGCCAATAGGTGCAGAGTTCCAAGCAGTTACTAGTACCCAAGTTTATTTTTACAAGGACGTCTTTCAAATCACTGAACGGTTCACGTCAGATTTCTTATTCGTGACCATATGCCTGACCTTCGTGATCGTGTTCCTGGGGATATTTTCCAACGTCATCAACATGGTGGTATTCCTTAAGCAAGGTGTGGGCGACAACGTCAATCTCAGCCTGTTTGCGTTGGCTGTCTCTGAACTGTGCTCTCTCCTGCCATTGGTCTGGCACGGGTTTATCGCTCACACGAGATTTCTCGGGCCGGACGTGGATTTTGTCGGAAGCGAAGTCCATTTTCTGACCACAGGATGGCCGCACACGATCTTCACCAAGGTGACCAGCTGGGTCACGGCGTTCATCATGTTTGAGAGGTGCCTCTGCATCGCCCTGCCCTTGAAGGTGAAAACGGTCCTGACGACGACTCGCGTCAAACTGTGCCTCGTTTCCATTTTCGTGCTCGTGTTGGCCGGGGTGGTTCCCACTTATGCCACACATAGTCTTGGCTGGAAATTTTACCCGGCGCTCAATCGGACCCTCCTGGGTTTGAAGAAGACAGACAACGCGCGGGACGTGACACAGATTTCAAATTTAATCAACAATTCCATCTCCTCGTTCATCTCCTACTCCGTCACACTCGTCTGCACAACTATAATCATCTTCCAACTCAACAAGAAAACAAAATGGCGGGAAACCACGGCCGGGTCGGGAGACAAGGGAAGTAACCCCGTTTCTGCTCGCGATCGCCGCGCGGTCAAGACGGTGACGATCGTTTCCGGGATTTTTCTGGTAAGAGTGACGCCGTCCATCGTCGTCGTCATGGCAACGTCAATTGACGACCAGTTCACACTGGCGGGAAAATATGGCAATCTCTTGGTGCTTATCTACGGGATCATCTTTGACTTGGAGGCCTTGAACTCAAGTGTGAACATCTTGGTGTATTACAAGACAAACCGTCGCTATAGACATACGTTCAAGTCTTTGTTGTTCTTTTCGAACGTACATTCAAGTGCACAAAAAGCCTCGCTGGAAACTATGAAAATAACAAAAACTTGAATGGGAGTTGTATGCTATTTAGAGCTTGCATTATCTTTCCCATTTTTAATAAGTTGAAAATCACAGAAAATGGACCGTTGAAAAATTTCATCAGATCTAGTTAAATAGTATTATTTGTTAAATGTTTTGTTTTTAAATTTTAGGGTTATTAAAAATTATTTTTTAAAAAGGATTGGAGTATAAATTTCTCACAACATACCCCACCCCCCCCCCCTCTTATAAGCAGCACAAAAATATTTTACGCAAAGCTTTACTGAGTAAAGTACTTGCCTTCCCATCGCTACCAAACATATTATTATGTCATCTTCCTCTATCAACCTCAAAATTTCCAATACTTACAATGTAAACAACACATATCCACCACACACACATCCCAAACCTAACCCCACAAGGACCATTTTTATATACCACACAAATACATAGCTAATTCCTATGAGATACTGGAGTAGGAACTCTCCATCGACTAAAATAGGTAACTGTGTGTATGTTGTAATCGCTAGGGCTGTCAACTGGTACCCAGGATCACTGATATCTCCCTAAGGCTGACACCGTGTGCAATATCGGTTTTCCGCTTTTAAATTATAAAAAGCGATCATATTTCTACTAGAAATTGCGTTACTTAAATTTGTTTTTCAAAGGAAATCCAGGAGATTACTAATTTTTTACTGTTTCGACTACTTGCGTCAATCGTAGGTCTCAACGGAGCCGTCCGACTGTGCCCCGGTACGCAGTAAGACACCTCTCTCACAGGGCCGTCTTAACTGGCAAAAAATCGCTGAACGCTCCTTCTACTTCCATGGGCCCACGTTCTGGAACCAGCTCCCCTTCCATATCCGTCATTGTGAAACCTCGTCCATTTTCAAAAAGTCCCTTAAAACTCATCTGTTTAGGTCCGTCTATGACCTGTGATGCACCCTCCTTGCCCTGCCTCATTTTCTGTTTCGGGTTGATCCTGAAGTATAGGCCAAAACGTGTCAAAGTGTCCTCGTTTTATAGCCATTTTCATTGTTTCTATAGTATAGAAGTTACTATCCTAGTGTCTCATTTTTATTTTACTTAGTTTACATGTTTTTAATAATTGTAAAGCGCTTAGAGCTTTATGGTAAGCGCTACATAAAAATGCCTAAATAAATAAATAAACTGCAACGAAGAAACGCTCTGAGCCACTTATTCCTCTCTAGCCTCTCAAGTAGTGTTAGGAAAAGCATTTGGGTCAGTGTTTGGCCCATGCGTTAGGACCTGTGTTTCTTTTTGAATAGTCTCATGGTGGGTATTTTAGTTTTTGTGGAGGGGGCGTTATTTAAAATATTGGTATGGGCTTATCTATCACAATCAGAGCAAACATTTATTATTTGCTTCTGGTGCGTCCTGCTTCCTCTTCAAAACTGTCATCAAACTCCACATGTTTTATGTTAGATGTACTGAGTGAAAAAAAGCTGTTACGCAGCAAATTTCATGCGTGACGTCTGAACTCTGGTAATAGGTTGAATTTTTTTTTCAGAAAGGATTGTTTTTAAAAAATCATTATTTTTTTCACAACTTTGTTTTAAGGCCGCACACCACAGAGGACTGGGTCATGGGTCGTCCTTTCACTTTGGGCATGTGTGCGCGTATGAGTCTTTTCGGTAGCCTGGTACAGGAAGGTATTGCTATTTTCGTTATAATAATAATAATAATAATAATAATAAGACGTCTTTTATAGCGTGGTACCCCAGCCTAGGGCTGGGCTCACCGCGATGTACATAAAAAATTTATCAAAAGAGACATAATCATGAAATTACAATAACATACATTTATGAAATAAAGAACAGCAATGTATATTCACCCACCCCACCACATAACTTTCACAAGGCAAACCATGGACGGCAGCCAGCAAGATCTTTTATCGGTCAGAGGAGGGGAATCAGTCAGGGTAGTATAATTTAAAAAGATGTGTTTTGAGTGCAGTTTTGAAGGCCTGGGTGGTTGCTATATTGCGTATGTTTAGTGGCAAAAAATTCCATTGTTTGAGGGCGCAGAAAGAAAAAGATCGTTCACCATATGTTTTAGTGTGTGTCTTGGGATCGGACATAATACTTGTGTCTGCAGAGGAGCGAAGCTGTCGAAGGGGTGAATAGACAGAAAGAAGTTCGGTTAGATAGGAAGGGCAGGAATCCAAGAAAAAGTTGTGACAGAGATCAGACAACTTGTAGTCAATTCATGCCTGTATAGGTAGCCAATGAAGGGAATGGAATAGTGGAGTGACATGATCACGGTTTTTTGCCTTTAAAACTAGCGTAGCAGCTGAGTTTTGAACTTTCTGCAGTTTTTCTATGCAGTGTTTTGGTGAACCTGACAGAAGAGAATTGCAATAGTCAAGACGAGAGAGAACAAGAGCACAGACTAGAGTTTTTGTAGCGCTAACTGTGAGGTAGTGGCGTATGGAGCTAATTTGACCGGATAGTGGTGTATGCTGAACGACAAATGTGATATATGTGTTTATCGAGAGACATGTTGTTAGAAAGAATATAACCACGATTCCTAGCAGAGGGTGTAAACCGTACGTCAGAGTTACCTACATGAAATGAGGTAGGAAGAGTTGAAGTAGAGGATGATGTATGATTGTGGATGAGGAGTGCTTCCGTTTTGTCACCATTAAGCTTCAACTTGCTGAGTGTCATCCATGACTTGACATCATCAATGCATCCCCGCAAAGTCTGGACAGCGGATTCAACAAGAGAAGGATGGGTATGATTGTATAGCTGCGTGTCATCTGCAAATGACTGGCTCTCAACAGCATGCCTCCCAAGCAAGAGGAGCAGTCGTCTGGTATACAATGTGAATAGAATCGGGCCAAAAACGGACCCCTGTGGTACTCCGTACACCAAATCAGCACTGCCTGAGAGACAGCCATTGACAGAGACCGCCTGTGTTCTATCAGAGAGGTAGGACCTAAACCAAGCCAAAACTGAGCCAGAAATTCCAAAGTAATTTTCAACTAACTTTCATCGGGTATTTTCTCAGCATACCCGAAACCGGTGCAAAAACTGCACCCGGTTACCCTTAGACAGGCTTTTTTACGATGAGTGTCAGCTATAACACTGCCCCGCCCTCCATACATAAATGTACATTCATTACGGTTGTGACGCCCCTGGGGAAAAGCCTTTGGCCTCAGATTCGTTTTGCCACTGGACTGGAATCTATTAATTCCAACCATATAACAAAATAAAGAAAAAAAATCAGATTTTCGCGTGCCCTCATATAGCTGTGCTTATACAAGTTGATTTTCAGCCGTTTCTAAATTTTTAATGTTCCTTTATCATTTTAATTGAAACAATTTATTTATCTTCCCATCGTTTTCTGTCTTCCTCTTCTTCTCCGTCGTCTCGTTGTGCCCTGCATGATTTCTTTGGCGAGCCCTTGTTTTCTTGTGGCGTGATCATACCATTCCAGTTTGGGCTTTTGTATATTCAACAGGAGGCAGTAATACTGCCCAATTGCGTGACGAAGCCTTCCTTTCAATTGTTCATTAGAGATATGGTCTCTACAGCATGCATATATATATATATATATATATATATATATATATATATATATAATATATATATATATATTTTTT